TCTCCGCGGGCGGTGAGGGGCGTTGCGGGGCGCTCCTGGAGCTGTGTGATGGGGAGGGTGAGGCTGGGCTCCGAGCCACCGCAGTGGGCATGGGGGCAGTGTCACCATGGTGGGGTTGGGGGCCGTGCTTGTGGAGATGAGGCGAGGGTGGTGTCACCATGGGGCAGGGTAGGGGTTGGGGGTTATGGAGGTGAGACTGAGGATCCTGTCACCATAGAGCAGGGTAAGGGTTGGGGGTTGCGGTTGTGCTGAGGCTAGGGGTGGTGTCACCGTGGCAGGGGGGGGGTTGGGGGTTGTGGTTGTAGAGGTGAAGCTGGGGGTGGTGTCACAGTGGCAAGGCAAAGGGTCGTGGCCACGATGATGGGATTGGGATGGCTGTCATGGGATGGCAGCAGGGCTGGGCCATGGAGGTAGGGTGGGAGCTGGGAACGTGGTCACGGTGGTTGGGCTGAAGTCGTGTTTGAAGGGGAAACGCATTCACATTGGGCATTATTTTATTCACCGATCTTTGAAACCAACTTTTTATGTGCATGTCCTTGCTGCGGCAGTAGGAGCCCTGCACTGTTTTTTTCTTTTCCTTACTAGTATGGTGGTGAGTGCTTAAGTAATACCGTTTTTTAGAAGACATGTTCTTTTCCTTTGTGAACTTCAAGGAAACAGAGGGAACAGAAGTGGGAAAAGAAGATAAAAAGCAGCAGCATTGTAGGACAACTGATTTGGTGAGAGAGGAATGTTGCATCTTTTCAAGAATTTGAAATAAGTAGTAAGCTGTTTTTAGCTTCTCAACTTCTGGGGGTGTTTAATATTGTTAAGGGAAGCCAAAACCAGAGCTCTGCAGTACCCAGGGAATTTTCCTGTCCCAGTCCCATAGGTGCAACTTGCTGCTTTTCCCATTTCAGCAAGTAGCCAACCTGAGCTTACAAATGCTGTGTGCACATGCCCAGCCACGCAGACCAGCAGGCTATAAACAGTGTCTTCAGCAGCACCCACATAAACTTGCATAACACAGGCTGATGGCTCTGTCTAACTGTCTCTAGGTGGTCAGGACTGAGGGTCACTAGTCAACAATGCTCCCCCTCCCTCTCCTGGTTCCCAAAGATTCCTGCACCCATGAGCCTGTTGAATATTAGCACGGGCCTTAAGTCTGGCCCGTGCCCAGGTCCCTTGTCCATGAACCACCTCAGACATTTGGCCATTCCGTGTCCATTTGGTCATGCCGGCCTCTCCGTGCTCACAAGACTAGTGCAGCTGGAAATTTGCTAGCAAAATATATGTATGTACACAGAATAGAGCACCCTGGAACAGCACGTAGGTAGGAAGTTTACACAGACAATGTGATTTTAAATAGTGGTGTGAAAATATCAGGGTGGCTGCTTGAATGCTTGAATGTGCTAAGCCAAATTTTAAATATCTGACCTTTATGTTACGTGCGTTTTGGGGCAGGAACGCCTGTGTACAGGCCAGCCGAATTAATGGTCAGTCAGGAAGTGCCAGGCACACCTCGATGCACCGAGGAAGCACATTCGTTAGATGAACAGAGTACATCCTATACAGAAGTGCACAGCCCTAGTAACATGTAAGTTGCTGTAAGATGCTTCTAACATCGTAGTAGTTCTGCATTTATTATTAGTAGTAATATTCCATCTTAATATTATTAATTTATGAGTACTTTTTCAGTCTGTCTTGAGTTCCAGTTTGACAATGGTCTTCATATAAAAACAAGTCTATAGCACATGAGGAACCTGCAATAGTTACAGAAGGCCCCTTTGCAGCAAGGGAGTTAAAAAGTGTTGAGGCAAATGCCTTCAAGACTGCACTACTAATAACACTAGTATCTGCTGGGCATGTTAGTGTACACATGGCACCTCCTAACTGAGTGCGAAAACGAGCTCTACTAGTAAATGCCTGCCTTACAAAAAGCCAATAAGATTCCTGTGCCTAATAAAAGAAGATTTAGAGTGCTGAACTGCCAGAACAGTGTAGTGTTGCCAGCAGAGAGGCTTCCTGTGCGTTTTTTCTCTATTGATCTTTAATAGGATCTTAAGAGGAAAGGCCCTTTTGCTGTTTGTTGATGGCCTTCATACTGTTTAGAGAGATACAGCAGAGGTCTCCATCTTTCTTGTTAGGATAAAAGTAATTCCTGATATCATTTTTCCAATGTATTGTTTGCTAGACTGTGATTTCTTTCCTGTACTTGCAAGAGACCAAAAGCACTTACGGATTCGATAATACATCAGCATTCGATTTTTCAAGCTTTCATTTGATGTAGAAAATTGCTAAATAAGGAATTTTACCTTCAGTGCAGGCTTTGGAGGCAACTTAAGTGTGTGGAAGACGACTGTTCATCCTCTTAATGAAAAAACAGAAGCATTTTTTTCTTTCTTTCTGGGAAATACCCTTTCTCATTACTAAGTGAAGCTTGGTGATGATACAGAACTAAGAGGGCTCAATTTGATTGTATCTGCAAGCTACTAGAGCATTTCATATATCCTGCTAGCAGAAGCAATTCAGAGTTTCATTTTTAGCAACGGAGTAAGACATGCGCAAGAAAGCTAATGCACTGCAATTATAAGATATAAGGTAGCAGGCAAATAATTCATGTGGTGTGTGTATCTTTTTTTTAAGTATAGTTCAGATCCATCCCTGTTGTGTTTCCACTGAATTCTCAGGGTTTTGTTTTGTTTTTCCTTTTTTTCACTTTGTTTTTGGTGTATTTTATTCTTTTGCAGTTTAGGTTTTATGTGTCATTGGGTAGTCATAGTCTGCTCTCATTCAGATTTAACACTTGATTTACCTACTTACCATTTTTTAGTATATTTGAACAAATTTATAGGGAACTTTGTGCAGGGGACAGGAATGTCAAGGAAGTCACTACACATTCTTGAATGGGCAAACGTAGATTAGGGTGAGTTTTGATAGATTCTATGCCTTTCCTCCTTAATCCCATCCAACATAATTCTTCCTTTGGTATGTGCCTAGCAGAACATTTCCACCTTTCCTTTTCTGCCCTGAGTGTAGCTGTTCTTCAGTAGCAGCCCCATTTTTCATTTGTCTTCTCAGTGGAAAGGAAAAGAAACCTGATGAGCTGCCCTCCCCAAGGAGGTAAGAGAAGGTAAATAGGCCCAAGTGAATTTTAGGCAACACCAACTTGAAGCAGCAAAAAAAATGCTAAAAGTTTCTACAAATAGAAATGCAGGTGGTTTGGGTTTGAGAGCAACCAGTGTGTTTAATCTGATTCTGACTGCTTATAATGGGTTTGCAGTTTTAGCTCAGACTTTGAGGAAAGGTATTATGGCATTATCTGTATTTTCCTTGTTCTGTTTTTTGATTTTGATCTGCCCATTGGTTTGCGACCTAAACAAAATGATTTGCTTGAGTATCCTTTTTCTCATTTTGAAAAATCTAATTTCAGGAAAAAGTCTGAAATTTCTGGAGTCATGGCAAAAGCTGACATCAAACCCAAGTCTATATGTCATGCCAAAAAATGGTCAGATGAGGTAGAGAACTTATACAGATTTCAGCAAGCTGGCTACAGAGATGAAGTTGAATATAAACAAGTAAAGCAAGTTGATACGGTAAGATTTAGAAGGGTTATTACTTCAAGCTTCTTTGTTTTGTACTAAATGATTAAATAAACATGAAAGTGCTGCGTATTTCCTCTTTTTTTTTGATACGTTTTTCCATTTTCTCACCTAATTTGACTTGTATTCCTTAGCTGTTAGTAACTGCACAGAGTAACTTGTTTCACAGAAATTAAACGGAAACTGTAGCCAACATGAATTTATGTTCCCTTTCTCTCTTCTGCATTTAGAAGCATTATATATTTCTTTGACTTGATTAAGCTTCCGTCTAAAAGAATAGCTCAGTGTTGAAGAAAGGAATGCATCGGAGGTAGTTCTCTAAAGTTTCCCTGGTACTCTGCCAAGAGGCCTAATGAGAAGTTAGTTCAGTGTCCAGGTGCTCAGTCCTTCCTTGTTGCTACTAACTTCAGTTTTACAGCTGAATTGCCTGTAGTATAATTTGACTTTTTTCACCTTCAGAATCTTACTATTCAAACTGTCCACAACTGAAACATTTGCTGGTAAAGGGAGTTGCTCTGTAGTTCCATTTCCCAAAGCAGCATATAGTCTCACAAGTCTGACTTTAAATTATATTAGTATCTTGTGCACGTGGGTGCAGAATGTTCCTAAGAAAGTCACTTTTCATCTAGCAAAATAAGATGCAGCTAATGCTGTTGTCTTGTGCTTAGGTACTACAGTGAAAGCTGTAGTGTAAACATCCTTTACCAGTGCAAAAGGATATCAGGTAATTTGAGGGTAGAATCAGTCTGGTTAAAATTTATGGCAGGTTGTAAACTATGAACAGTCAAACCCTGACACTAGTTAAGTAACAGCACTTACTCCAGTTAAAAATTAACTCAAGTTTTGTTCAGACGTCCCAGGATTGCTCTGTTTTTCTCAGGTTGCTAATGAAATGTGTGGCATACATATTTTTCATAATAAGAGATTCCTGAAGAAACCTTTAAATGTCAGTCAGTCTTTTATAAGTAGAATATTCTAGCTTCTCAAATTACTGAATAACTGATGTTTTATTCTAATACTTTTTTTTTTTTTTTACTTTGACTAGTCCATTTTTAAATGACTTGGGTTTATCAGGTAGTCTTAGAAACTTATTTCTGGACTTTTCTGATCACAATACTTTATACTTGACGGGGAAAGTGGTTTCTGATATCTGATAACTGATAAAAGTTAATTAAATTAATAGTAAAGCAGTGTTTGGATGCAAATGAAGTTCTTCCATGGAAGTATATGCTGTATTGTTTGCAGTGTAATGCACAAATGTAATTCAATGTGAACATGTTCAGGTGAATGTATATCCTTTTTATTTTGTTCATAGGTAGAGTGTTGGCCAGAAACTGGATTTGTTAAGAAACTACAGAGAAGGGACAATACTTTCTATTATTACAATAAGCAAAGAGAATGTGAAGACAGAGAAGTTCATAAAGTAAAAGTTTACGTGTATTAATCTTGTTTTTGTTGTAATCTGTTTGTATATATTTTTCTAAATCTGTTTGTCAGTTGGAATTTTAAGTAAATGAGATTTGTCTAATCTGTCTTGCTCTATTTTTAAGTATTAGGTGTCATTATTGGACAGAATGGGGAAGAGAGGAAATCTAAAGAGAATTCTGTAATTCTAGACAAGGAGATTCCAGTTTGATTCTGGTATAGCCTACAGTTGTAGTATCCCTCATTTTCCTAGTAACAAAAATGTTTTGGCATCTAACAAGGATCAAAAATTTGCAAATGAGTATCATGTGTTTGGTTTAACAACTGTGTGGAAGGTCCATTATAACTAGAGGCATTGATTTTTACCCAAAACAGTGTCGTTTTGTTGACGCTGGCTAGTGTCAGCCACAGTCTCTTTAGATAGCTGAGGTTAATGACACTGCAGAAAGGCAAACTTAGGTCAAAGGCTAATCCAGATACACATGTATGTATTTTTAACAATATGATTTATTAGATGTAGGATTTATTTAAAAAAAACTGAAACAAAGTCAAAGGTTATTCCTGGTTTCTTATGTGTCTCTTGTAATAATGTCTTAATACAGTGAGTGTGCATTTAATACAGCCGCCGGGCTTTCTTCATGCCAAACAATTAGCACTGGAATTCATGCTTCACTTCTGAACGTTAATTTTCTATGGGTTGGCATTCAGAACTTCTAGCCACGAGAGAATGAGTTACCTAGATTTTATTACTATTTTTTTTAAGTGTGCTAAAGAGCTGAACTTCAGTGTCATTTAAGAGGTCAGGGGTGAATAGGAGCAAAAAGCTTCGGAATTAGCGCTGAAGACCAGTACAGAAACAGAGCCCTGATGTTATTTTTAAGTTCACTCATGCCAAGGCAAAAAAAAAAAAAGGTTATCTAGCATCAGTGACAATTTCAGTCCTAGTTATCTTTTGACATGTTGTTTGTATCCATATTTCACTCTGATTAATAATACTTAAAATGATTTTACACCAAAAAAAGTGGTTGTAACTAACCTCGAGACTGTTAGGGCTTTAGCTGTGACACTAGTGTGGACACTTGCTTGGCTTATTCCACAAGTAGATTTTATATTTAGCTGTGCTGTCACCCAAGCCCTAAGAAGTGCTCCACAGTTGCGGTCATGTTTGATGCCAACCCTCCCAGTCAAGAGGCTGAGATGAAATAATTTGCAATCTGTAACTGGGGTGGGTGTGAGGCATCGCTCACTAAATATAAATACTTCCAGCCCAGAAGGTCCAGGGTGATGTACACTCAGGGGCTTAAGACCAGTAGCCAACAAGCTTCCTAATCACTAAGTAAAAAACTTGTGTCACAACTATCCTATGCATAACTGAACTGTCCTGTCTGTCACCTCTCCTTTGTTAAGCATGTTGCAAACTAGGTTTACTTGCATGTCAAATTAAGGACACAAAGCTCCAAAAGGGTATGGAGGTAAGCAGTTTGTTGGAAGTTACGCTTCACTTTTTGGGTGACACAATAGTTCTCGTGATTTATCAAGATAAAGAACTTGCATTGCCATTACAAAAACTGCATGAGCACTTTTCATACTGAGCTTTAACTGCATAAGTAGTAGTTGCATGTTGAATTTGAATGGTTTTCTTCCAAATCTGAAACCATTAAGCATAGAAGAGAACAGTTTTGGTTCCTCTGAACCCTGACGATTTTTCTCCGCTTATTCTATCCTGATCTTTCACTTTCTCCCACTTTGGCCATTCCCACAGTAACTTTTGCGCAGTCTCCCGAGCCTCTCACATATCCCCTAATAACCATGATAATCCTGTTCTGCTCTTCCTATCAGTTACCAAGCAGAGGCTGGACCAAAAAGCAATCAGGTTTCATACATCCAGGTTCTGAGCTTTTGCTCTGGGTGGCTGAAGGATGTGCTGGGGTGCCCCAAAGGACATGGCTGTGCCAAATGCAAGACATTTTGGGGAATATTCAATGCTGGGAGGTGCCTAGGGGTACATGTCTGGGATGCTGTGTGTGTCTTCCCATGGGCTGTTCAGAAACAGGTTTCAGTACAACAGCTGAAAGTCACTCTCTAGAGGAGGCGTTCATTGGAAAACGGAATATTTCTGTGGTAGCCCATCGTTCATAACTTTGCCATCAGTGAGTGAGAAAGATCTAGATCTATAGCTGCAGCCACAGAGACAGATGTTTATTTAGAAGGGCATTGGATTAGTGGCGTTTTTTTGGTCTCTTTTAGAACAAAGTAGGAGGATCCATCCATCCCATGCTGGATGAAATAATTTGCAGTCTATTTGAGGAGGATTGAGGAGTTTGCTCACTAAATATAAATGCTTTCAGCTCAGAAGGTCCAGGGTAACGTACACTCAGGAGCTTAAGACCAGTAGCCAAAGAGCTTTTTAATCACTCATTTTAGATCTTAAAGTTCAGAAGACAGGAGATTTGCCAGAAGTTTTACGTAGGGTCAACATTGTTCCAGTGTATAAAAGGCAAAAGAATGGTACAGAAATAGGCACTTTGGAGGTTTTGTTTCTGGAACATCTTAATGAAACTCCCAAGGACTAAGATAGTTTCTGACTAAAACCATCCGTTTCAGCCTAAAGGTACCAGAGCAAAAGCAGAGGCTGGTGCCATAGAAGGCACCATAGAAGGCTTAAGTGACAAGAGGGGGAAAAACCTTACAAAATCAGGAGGGGAGGTGCTTGTTCCGCATGTTACTGCAATTTATGGGAAGTAGCCTCTTCTCTTTGCAAAATACAAAACCACCCAGGCTTCACCTAACGCAGCTGTGATGTCCCGGTGCCTGCACTGGCGCCACTTGTTCCGCCGGTGCGAAGCTCCCTGTGACCGTTAGTGTCATTTCCCCTCTGCCCTTGAAAAGGGTGTTTTGAAGGTGGCTTTAATCACACACGTGCTTAAAGTCTGCCACCAAGCTAGGGAGGTACTCAGATGCTCTTGTGTTCCATAAGCACTTCTCAGAAGCTAAGAAGGGTGGGGTTTTTAATTGACTTTTAAGATTTATCCTTGTGAAGACTTTTTTTCGCAAAACAAGTATGATTTCTGTAAATCTTCTCTCATCAAATGCTGTGACTCTTTCAGCTGAGACTTGAGGCGCAAAGGAGGAGGCAGCAAATCTTCTACGATGCATCAAATGAGATAACATAAAAGGGAGAATCCACAGTCCCAGCAAACAGACTCTTGGCAAACCTGTAGGAGAGACGAGGCTATAGGGAGTAAATCACACCTATCCATGACTACGTATGTTTCAGCATCTTTGTTTCCTCTTTCATCGAATCTCAAAGATTAAAGTGTAAATGCAGAAAAGTAAAGTAAAATATTTTGGTGGTAATAGTTAAAACCTGTTGTCTGCATTTTACAGGCTCTGCAGGAGCAGAGAGCTTGTGGCTGTGTGTGGATTTTGTGAGCTCGTGTCTCCCTCTGCTGACGGCCCCAACTACCTGAAACGGCTTCATTTTTCAAAGGATAAAAAGCCGTTTTTTCCCCGTTCTGCTGTTGTGCCACCGTTTCTCACTCATATCGACCACAGCGGCTGTTCTCAGGTGCTGGTTGTTGCTGACTCCTTGCAACAGCAGGTCTGGCCACCCCAGCGCTCATCTGCACCGTTTGTGGCACTTCGTGTTTGCTGCTGGCTGATGTTTCTATTAACTGTAAGATAATGCACAAATCCGCATTTAGAGGAAAATCTCTGAAAATCGTCAGGGAGAGACTGTGAGTCACTGAGAGATGGGAGCAGGGCAGAGAGGAGCTTACAGACAGGACATGCTGGAAGTAACTTGTGCTGAATTTTGTTTTCGTTCTTTTCAGCGTGAAGATGCCTGTAACTCAACTTGCTATCAGTTTAAAAATAATTCTGTTCTCACAGGCAGCCATTAGGTAAAACTGGCCCTGGGAACTGTGAAATGCCAAGGTTTGGATTTCTGTTGTTTTCCCAGGTAACCTCGTGAAACCCTGGTTCTTCTCAGGGCGTTCTCACATCCTCAGCTGGCGCCTGCCACCTCACTTCCCCCTTCGCCCCTGCTAACCCCAAATCTCTTCCTTGCTGCTGAACTGCCAGGCAGCTCTCCCAGCCGTGGTCTGCTGTGGGGACGCAAAGGAGCAGGCAGGAAATCTTCTATGATGCATCAAACGAGATCACACACACACACAAAAATAATAAATAAAATTAAAATAATAAATAAATAAAATTAAAATAATAAATA